ACCTTTGTCAGAAGCGGCCAGCCAGACAAGCACCTTGGGTTCGAACTTGCGCTTTTTGCGATATTTAACACTTGGTGGAGTCTTGTCTCTGTTGCTAGAGTAGTAGGTGCTGTTTCCATTAATTGTTGAGTGTGACAGAGTGAAGAAAGACTCATCGTCAAGGATGACCGATTTTCCTTTAAAAACACGATAAAGACGATCAATGCCAGTTTTGATTCGCTCATTCTGGTTCTCTTGTCGATGAGGTATACCCTGTTTTGTATAACTTTTGATGTCAGTGTACTTGGCAAGAGTTTTAATGATATGTGAATGACTGCATCCAAATTTTCGACCAGCTTGCCTCATCGAAACTCGGTCACTGTGATCAAATATGGCTTTCAGGTGCTTGATCCTCTTAGGGGTCATGATTTTGGCCACACGACTACTTCCTTGCACTCTTTTGTGCCCAGAATCATTCTCAACATGTTTGATTATATCATAGATAGTGCTTCTTGGGATTTTTTCAGCATTGAAGTGAGCTACTGTGAACTTTTTACCTTGCAATTTATTATTCAAATAGAACTCGTAAATCCGTTTTCTTACCTCTTCTTGCTTGGTCATCATTATTTTTTTAATTATTATTATCTAAAAAAAAAAAAATTAACTTATAGAGAATTAAATAAGCTATAAAATGGATATAAACATGACTAAAAAAGATTTAGCTTGTGACATTTAAAATTCAGTTAAAGTTTGTCCGGATTTTTAGTAACCACCCGTTATAAACTAAAATTTTGAATACTAAAAATGTTTCTAGATTTTGCGTTTTGCATTTGCTTAATTCAACCCTTCTTATTACATTAAAATTATACAAATAAACTTTACATACACATTGCAATTTGTATTTTTGCCATCCTCCTAATAAAATATAAGAAAAGGAAAATCATTCTTTTTATTGTAGACTTCAAACTGTTTTTTTTTGCTTCGACTTATCTAATTTTGTTGCTGAATGTAACTTTAAAGAAACAAAAATTAAAACAGTACACAAATTATTTAAATTATTAATTTGTTTTTATTTTTTTCTATTTCAATCTCTTTATTTTGTTAGTTTTGTTTTTTTGTTTTTGAAACTTTTTCAGCATTATTATAAAACTTGCGAACGGTCGTGTTCACATTTTCTAAAATATTATAATCGCGTGTGGTCATACGAGACAAAAAACCACACACCTTTCCTGGGAAGGCTTGTTACAATGAGCTTTTTTTTTGAGTTTAAAAATGCCTTTGACACTTTTAAAAATGCCTTTGACGTTTGGTCAATATTTCTAAAAATTTAGTTAAACTTTGACATCTAATATCTAGAGAACCAACTATTATTTTTTGAATAAATTTTGGAATTGAGCCTCTAGTATGAATAGCAACAACATATCAAAAAATTAACAATTTTGAAAAAGAACACTCTAAAAATTTGGTATTTTTGGCTGATTCTTACAGAAAGTCGCTCTTAAGTTTGAACTAACTAGCTATAGCTTAAAGTTTTTAAAATTCATTAGCTACTGCGTTTAATCTACTATTTAAAGATTTTTCAATTTAAGCAAAAAATAGAAACCTAATAATTTTCATTTCTGGCCACAAAATTTATAACATTACATTTGTGTAAACTTTAGGTAATAAAAAAAAGTAAATATACAATAGATAATTTAATGTACACAACAAAAATCATAAATAAGTAAATTTATTGTTCATACTTTTCAAATTTAGGATAAGGGAGTGCGCGCAACATTTTTTTTTATGTATTAGGACATTAGAAGATAAGCGAATAATTTTAAATGCAATCGTTAAAAAACAATTAAAACATAATTTTTGGTATAAAAACATAACTTTTCAATAAAACATAACTTTTGGTGCTATTTTATTTAAGACCGTACAAACACTGCAGACTTAGGAAAAGTTGTTTAGCATTATGGACTTTATAAATAAAATGTATATATTAGAAATTATCGTGCGCATAATAATTTAATTATGTAATAAGATATTGAATCGTGAATATTTTTTTTTATCTTAAAAAGTTTGTCTTGTGAGGGCCAGGGGTTTGGAGTCGTGAAAAAAAAGTACCGAACCCGACTCTGAAAATTTCAATGACTGTTGAAATTTTCAGAGTCATTCTTTAAAAAATATTATGCAACAAGTTAAAAAATATTTTTTTTCTAAATTTATGACAAGTTCTTTGAGGTTTAGTATGAATATAAGGTTAATTGAATATTTTGTACATGCACATGCAATAACGAGAAGTTTTACTATTGCAGTCGGTGTTGTGACTTTAGTTCAGAAACTTTGATTCCGCTAAAAATGTCATGACTCCCTGACTCCGACTCCACAGCCCTGGTAAAGGCGCATGACATTTGAAAAATGTTTTACTAAAGTCTCATTAAATTCACTCGTTTTTTGTCTTTTATTTAAAAGCCTATGGAGATGCAATAACCAAAAAGCAATTAGACATAACATAGACATAAAAATAAAAAATAATTTTGGGTGCTACTCTTCATAAGGTGTTTGCTGTAGGCTATTAGAAGAAAAAAAACTTTTTTGCTCAATAAATAATAAATAATATAGTTCCTGCAACAATTCACAAACTTTTTAAAGACTTTTTAAAGACAAATTTATTGGTCTAAATGTCATTAAAGAGATTATATATTTAACAATATATTTAGTGTTAAATTTATTTTACTATGATCATAAATAATATCCTAAAGCAATAGAGAACAACTAAAAAAAATTATATTGCTTAAATTAATTTAAATAAACCTTTTTTTGATTGGTTCACACGCATGATTTCTCAATGTACTAATGTTGCTCTGATAAACCCATCTTTTCTATCTTTTCCAAAAACTGATTGAGTAGCTCTTGTGACTTTTTGAACACACCTTTCAATAGCTTGCCCATAAACAGGAAAACAAGGTACATACATCGGATATTATTGTATTTTACAAGTTCATCCTTAGACAATAAACATGTAAGTTCGTGTACATTTAAACTCCAATTGATTAAGTCAAAAAGTGAAACCGCATTTTCATTATGTATATGATACTTTCTACTTCTTACATTAGTGTTTCTGTTTTCTGAACTTCCTCTTAATTTTAAAGTTGCTTTAACTGCCAATTTTTTTTTTTTTTTTGACTACATCACAATGTCTAATAACATTTTCACTATAAGCACTACATGAAGATGATAAATCATCGAGCATATCTTTAACTTTAAGTCTTTGATGACAAAGTTGTAATTGCTTGGTATGGTTTGGCCCTTCAGCCTACTTTGATTTCAAACCAAAGTAGCGCATAAAATCCAACAATGAATTCCACTAGAAGTTAAAGATATCATCTTTCTTAAACTGAAAGATTTCTGAGCACCAGAGCAAAGATATTCTGTTTGCAGAACCATTTTGCATGTAAGAAATGGTGAATATGGAATATGGAATATGTTAACTAATTTTAATAAAACAGTTAAACTACATTTTTTAATTCTCAGTCTCAACAAGAATTGACTAAATGTTTGCAATATTTTAGCATTTACCTATATCCTCACTATTTGTTACAGTTATTTTAGAGTCTGATTCTTTTTTATACAAATATCTTGTTAACCGATATGTCTCTGATATGTATCAACTAATCCTATTTGTAAAGACTTACATAATTAATTTTATTTCTTTGATTAGGAAAACTAGTTCTTGCAAAGGTATCTTTGCCATTTTTGGACATATGCAAAGCACTTGGGCTTTAAAAAGACAATCTTTACAGCATGGCACTTGGGCTTTAAAAAGACAATTTTTACAGCATGGCACTTGGGCTTTAAAAAGACAATCTTTACAGCATGGCACTTGGGCTTTAAAAAGACAATCTTTACATCCACTTTTTTTACAGCATAAGATTTTGCACTTGGATTTTATGAAGTCAAATAACTTATCATGTTTGTATATATATATTTATTTTTTTCGTAGTTTTTTAATTTTTTAATGTCTTTTGCAATGTTGCATTTAATAATAAGTTTATTGACTGCATATTTTTCTGAGACCAACAGGATTGTAGAATTTGTTGACATCCAAATACATTTTATTTGAATAAATATTGTATACACATACATCTTGTACTAAAATGTATAATTGATCTTTCACACAATAAAATTTCATATCTTAATCTCTCAGCATAGGTAACTCTGATAAAAAAAAGTTACACTCTATTTTCCAATAGCTCATTCAAGTTAGGTCATTTTAGTACTGTTTGAGCTTGAGTAGACTTTATTGCAATTAAATTAAAATTATATTTGTTTCAAAATATTAGTAGCTTTTTGTAGTAAGTAAAAACTTAAGAACTTATCTTAATATATATTTATGTTATAAATTTGTTAATTACATCATTTCAAGAAAATGCTTTATTTTTTTATTGGAATATTTAAGATTTAAATAATAAATAGATAGAATATTTAAGTTTAAAATGCAATTCATTTGGAAAGCTATTATCTAGGTAATTATATTACAAACTAGCTATCGGACCAACTTTATAACACATAAAAATCAAAAACCATTTCCTGTTATTGACCAATTTTTATCGTTTTCAATAATAATGGAGTCATTACAAGCCCCAAGTCCTCAAATTTTGTTGACTTGGGGCTTGTAATCACTACCACGCTCACACAAGACAAACTTTTTAAGAGCAAAAAAAAATATTCACATTTCTTCCATTATCATATTACATAATTAAATTATTACACACACTACCATTTTCTAACAGTTATATAAATTTAACTTTCAAATATTTATAATAATATATCCATATAAATAATATTGTGCATGCTCCAATATCCAAAATTTGAAAAGTATGACCTGCTCCAACATCCACAAAATATAAAATAAAAATGTATTATTTTTAAAAATTCATATTCCTAACTAATATGTTAATAACATGTTATAACATGCTATTAACAAACTTAATATTACAAAGTACAGATAAAAATCTTTTGAAAACTTTATTTACCAATTTTTGATCCAACTCTTCATTATCAGTCTCTTCCTTTTTAATGTCTGAGGTAAAACCATTTTCGATACGTTTAAGATTACCAAGTCCTCCATCAAATGGATTATTCCATGTGGCATAATCATAGTCATCTTTAAACTCATTATTAAAGTTTTGCAGAGAAAACACAGAAGCAAACCAGCACAAGTAAATAATATACATTATTTTGTATATGCCATACTTCATAACTTTGTACTTATGTATATATTATTTCTTACTTTTCAACAATTTATATAACTCATCATTAATTAATTGCAAATATATTATAAGAATGTGTAACAGTACTGCAGTAATAAAAACAATATTATTAAACACAACAGGAGAAACATTTACCAGTAAACTTATTAAATATAAATCAAAAACATAACTTTAGGAATGGCAACAAGGCAATTAAAAGGATGTAAAAAAACCAGATAAATAAACGATAGCAAATAAATATTATAAAACCATAAAGAAAAAAAATATATTAAAAAAAAAAAAAATACATATATATATATATATATATATATATATATATATATATATATATATATATATATATATATATATATATATATATATATATATAAATATATATATATATACTTTTTAAGCATCTTTACTTCCAACAAGGCTTCTAGTAGCCACTATTAGAGTTGGAAGTTACTGAAAGAGATAAAGTTTTATAAGCAAGATAATCATTAACTGATAACTTAAAAGATTGCAAATTATCAGGGAATCAAGATGAAGGGAGCGAATTCCAAAGAACTTATGTTCGACAAAAAAAACCAGACATATTAGAATTTTTGGAGCACTTAGGAATAGTCACAGTAAAAAGATGAGATTAAATTGAATAATGAGTAACACGAAATTGAATGACAAGTAACACGAAAATGAATATTAGTAGATGGCACAAGAGATGCTAGCTCTTTAGAGCAGCACTTGTTATAGTATTTATAGAAATGTGACAGAAATTTATAGATGATGTGACAGTGGTTGAAAGTTGGCTGCAAGAGCCAAACTTCAATTACTGGATATAGATAGTTGGATATAAATAACACAGATATAGATAACACTGAATATAGATAACACAGATATTTAACAACCACCACCTCATATCGAAAGGTTTGATAAATATTATGGACGATTTGAAATTACATTATGAAATTACACAGACATAAATTACAATTTTGCTCAAAATTACAAAATTTAAGAATGAATTACTGTTGAAAAAACGCAGTTGGAATACTATACAGTTATGAGATTTATATAGATGAAATACTATACAACACCATCTTATAATATTAACTTTTTAACTATGTTTACAATCCATTTTTGCAATTTGTCTTAAAGAGAAAAAGCATCATTCAAAGATCCGCTCCAGATATGGCAACAATATTTCATACAAGGACAGATTAGCGGTTTATATAGATAAAGAATAAAATCCAGAGTAAGAAAGTTACAAGCATGATAAGGAGATGCAACCTTAGCAGTTGCTAATTTTGGTAGAAGGGTAGATGACACATCGAGTACATGACTAATCGTAAATATAGAATTATATAGATTATTGCAACAAATTGATTTTGGTATATATGGTAATATCATTAGCAAACAATGCCACCTTACATGCAAGAATTTCTGGGAGATTCTAAGTTTAAATTAAAAAAAGAATAGGGCTAAGGATAGAACCTTGACCAACCCCTGAAGTTACAAGAAATAAAGAAAAGTGCTGTCCATCGACAACTTTTACACTATAATTGGTAAGAAAGGATTCAGTAATCAAAAAGATGTTACCTGATACACTGTAAGAAGAGAGCTTATGGAGAAGACCGGTATGCCAAACTTTATCATAGAATTTAGAAATGTCGAGAGCAACAGCCCTAACCTTTTCACATCTATCTAAAGCATGATTAAGCATATTAGTTATTACTGTTAACAAATCAGTAGTAGAACAAGGTGATCAAAATCCATATAGATGATCAGATAGTAAGTTATTAGATTCAATTGAGAGATTAAGTGTTTGTTAATTAAAGATTCAAAAACCATACTTATGATATTAAGAAGACTAAACAATTGATAGTCAGGTGAGTCAGATAGCTCTCCAGAATTAAAAACTTAGTTAAAAACTTTTGAAAGTATAGTAAAAAACAAAAATGTTATGGACGATTTGAAATTACATTATGAAATTTATATATATAAAAAATATATATATATATATATATATATATATATATATATATATATATATATATATATATATATATATATATATATATATATATATATATCAGCCCTCGGAATTTATTCAAAAATTAACTTAATAAATATATTCATTTTAACTGAGTATTATTAATTAGGTGTTTTCATTTTTTTTTTTTTTAATTATTTTTTTTTTTTAATTTATTATAGCTATTAAAACTAAATTTTCAAAAATTGAATTTCAATACCTAACAATGTATTCTATATAATAAAATAACACTGAAAATATAAAAATTAAAACAAAATTGAAAAAAAAAATTTTGATTAAAAAATATTTTTAGAGCTACCATCAAGACCTTTGAAGATTTACAGGGTCTCAAATATTTAAAAATAAAAGTTTTTTAAAAGTACCTGAAAATTTTCAGCAAGAAAAAAAGGATACTTAATTCAAGTAAAATTATATAAAAATTTCAAAAATAATGTTTTATAGAAAAACTATTGTATTGCATAAAAATTATAGCTTTTATATTATATAAAAGTCAAAAAAAGTTTTTTTTAACAAAAACACACATATTTAATTCAATTTCTGTAGCAAATACTTAAACAGTACCAAATACTTAGACTTCTACAAAATGATATCTCATTTCATTAACTTTATTCATCATAGATTTCTCAAAATGTTTTTTTTTTTTTGTTTTGAAAATAAACCAAGCACCATTTAATACATCATTTAAGCATTTATAGACAAAAGCTGGTTGAACGTTTACCAGTTATATTATTTGAATAAACTGATTCTTCTTGAATTGATAATGAGAAATTAAATTTTTTATTCTCCTTACTCATAGTGTCTTTTTCTACAGCATTATTCTCTTTTCTTTTTTTTTCTACATTGGAAGCATCATTCTCTTTAAAATTTTTTACATTAGAAGCATCATTCTTTTTAAAATTTTCTACATTAGAAGCATTCTCTTTACAAACTTCTTCGGGTATAAAACTATTTATCTTAGGCTTTATGATTGAAATTTCATTTTTGCTTTTTTCAAAATATTTTTTATACCAAAACATCACTGTAGAATAAAATAAAACAACAAGTAAACAATACCATAAAAAATTTCTGAATGAAACTCCAGAGTTTTGATTAGTAACACAAAGCTGACACTCCTAAAAAATATTTTATAAATAGTAAAGAACACAGACTTAATTGATGTAAAATTTGCTATTGTAAATAACACATAATTATACAAGTAACACACAATGGAAATACCTAAACTATAATAATATAATAAACACAAAATTAATATAATAAAGACAACTAATATAAATAATGAGTAATAAAAACAATTTAGAATAAATAGAAATAAAAAAAAAAAAAAAATTATATAATCGAATATAGTAAATAAATAGTAATTACAAAACAAATATTATAATTTATTAAAAATAATTTGTAATACTTTATTTTACAATTATGTGATCAGATCTGATTAATAACCGTGGTCCCAGTTAAGTCTTACATATAAAAATTCTCAAAATTTTCAGAAGACACATGCGGTTACACGCCTAATGACCACACATACAACTTTTTTTTTGACAACTTAGCCACAGTTTTTTGCATATATTGATAATTTTTGTGTTTAAAAAATGCGCTGAAAAAATCAAACCGAATTAAAGAAAAAATTAAAAAAAAAAAAACTATAAACAGAAAAGAGAAACAAACTTCAAAAATGATAAAATAAGTAAAGCATAAACTTTTAAATAGAAGTATGATCATTTGCTCTCTTGCGCAGAGATTTTTATTCAACTTATAGCTCTATTGAATTTTAATTACTTTTTAAATTAAAATTATACACCATATGCTGTAGTTTGTACTTTCAAGTAATGTACTATATTTTCCAAGTGTATTATATTACTTTTTAGTTAAGGTGAGTTTCCACTCATCCATTTTTCTACGGGAACGGGAAAACTAATCATGTGAGCATGTGTAGTTTTACTTCGGACAAATTAAAACTTATAATACGCATGCCCACGTGATTATTTTTCCCTTCCCTTTCCCATTCCTATGAAAAAATGGACGAGTGGAAACACACCTTTAAACCATTTAAATGAGTAGAGTTATTTGCAGTACTCTTTGTTTGGTATTCCTAAATGCGAAACATTGTATTAAAGTGCATGCAGATAAATGTATATTACTTACATAAAATGAATTTATGTTTAAAATGAGAATATTAATGAAAAATGAGAATATTTAAGTTTTATTATCTGTTATTGAATTATTTAATGCATATTGGTCAAGTAATATATACTGCTCATACATGATGGAACAAATTAGGACTTAAAATGTATATAAAAAAATTAACTTTGATTTACTATTCAAATGTCAACTATGTTTTATTTAATATTAAAATGTCAACTATGTCTTAATTTTTGTTTTTTATTATATAGTGATTCAGTTTTTATTGCAGATTTATTCAAAATAACAATTGTATGCAGACCACTTTTGAGAGAAATGTGCAGATTTATTCAAAATAACAATTGTATGCAGACCACTTTTGAGAGAAATGTGCAGATTTATTCAAAATAACAATTGTATGCAGACCACTATTAAGAGAAATGTAAATTTGTATAATACTAGTGTAAATTTTGTTATGAATAGCAATTATGCCATATATCTACTTAAAAAAAATGTGGTAAAATTATTGTTCGCTATGTTTTAAATATAATTTTAAAAATTAACCATGATTATATAATTAAATATAGTTTTTTTTATATCAACAATGAAATATTACTTTTGTAGCAAATATACCCAAGATAATACCTTTTAATTAGCTACCTCACAGATCTACAAGAGATTAAATAAAGCTACAATAGAACAATAGCTCTGATACAGACTCGAGAGGTGGTAACAGGTTTTGAGAGTTTAAATACTGAAGTACCTCTCCATGAAGTTTAAATACTGAAGTACCTCCTCCAACTTATTTGCTCACCTCTAATATTATAATGTATGCAAATACCACTTTCCCAACCTTTCCACAATTTTTCCCAACATTTCAACATTCCACACTTTCCATTTGTCTTACTACTACTTATCATTTTGGTTGGTCATGAAAATAAACAATATCATATTCAATGAAACAAATTCGCTTTACAAATCATATAAGTGGATTTGTTTGTGACCAAAATAATCTTTAACACAATCTTTAATCTTTAACACAATCAGATATACAGGGGAATGTTACTGTACAAAATGTGAAATGGTTAAAGAAATAATGACGCAGCAGTTAGAACAATTTTATATCTAAATCTGGTATTTAATGCTCAAATGATACTTTTAAGGGAAGGGTTAAGGCATAACTATGGCTAACCCTAAGTAAGTTAGAATTCAAATTCCAACTCAGTTTTTTAAAATATGCACTATTCTGAAATTTGTCTTTTAACAAAAAAGTAATTGAAAAGACTTCACAATTTATGTAAATTATTGCAGTTGCACTAGGATTGCAGATTATTTCTAATTCTGAAATTATTCTTTCTGAAATTATTCTTAAGATCATTAAAAATTATTATAAAATATAAACAGTATCTTTCAGAGCATAAAATAAAAAATGACTTCAATAACTGAAAAAACAAAACGTTGTAATAAAGTGAATAAATTTGTTCGAGACTGAAAGTTTATATAAAGATCTGAAAAAAGTCTGAAAAAGTTAATTAAGTTTATTACCCTAGTTTACTATCTTACAGACAACTTTTAAGCCTTATAGGATTGCAATATTCTTATAGTATCTTATAGGAAAAAAAAAACTTTTTCTTATTTTTGTTTTTGTTTTAGGTGCCTTACGGTTTTATCACAGAGCACCACAGAAAAGCTTTTAATAAGAAGTTAATGCCTCCTTCCTAACCCATGTAAAAACTTGTCCAGAGGTTGTCTTTAAAAGTCGTTTTTATATGTAAATATTTATCTTGCTCAATTTTTATGTTAAAATTTGCGTAAAATTTAAAGAATTTTATTTGAAAGGGGGGTCAACCGCACCTATTCCCCCCACGGTATGGGCCTTATATATATATATATATATATATATATATATATATATATATATATATATATATATATATATATATATATATATATATATATATATATATATATATATATATATATATACATATATATATATATATATATATAAAGTGCCGCTAGGAGTCGTTATGTCCGGGACAGCCACTTGATTGGCGCTCTTATTTATCAAAATTCTCCTATATTATTGGTAAAGGACCCTTTTTCTTAGGTACCTTCTTTCTATTTGGCACCCCTTGGAAATCTGTGGCCTCATTAAAATAAAAATTAGTTTAATATTAATTCGTTTACTTTTCTAATTGATAATGACAACTACAGATAATGAAAAGATAGATCACCTCAGTCATTTCAATTTCTTTTAAAAATCAGTATTTTTTAGTTTTTTAAAAACCCACAAGCTAAGTTGTATCTAAAATATCAACCTTAAAAATTGCTATTTCGACATTATTTAAAAGTGAAATTATTTAAATTTATTTAAAAGTAAGTGAAAAATTTTTCTGGGTATTGAATCTTTTAATGTTTGTATAATTGTACACTATAGATATATCTTTTATATATACAGATATATCTATAATATTATAGATTTATATTATTATAATAAGTGATATTAATTATAATAATAATAAATATTGTGGTTTCTGTACAAATCTAAAGTAGCTTACACCATCCTATAAGAAATTCTATGTTATTCCTTCAAGATCTTTAAAATTATTCTTGTAGATACCTATAGATAAAATTATTCTTGTAGATACCTATCTTGAAGATTACCTTATCCTATAAGAATTCCTTTAAATCCTACAAGATCTTTCAAAAAGATTCTTGTAGGCCCTGCAGGGACTTTTGCAACTCATCCTATAGGATTCTTGTAGAATCTGTAAGATCGGTAGTCTAGGGTATGGAAGCATAATAATACCCTTGGTGTTTACATAATAGTATGCTTGGTATTTACATAATAGTATGCTTGGTGATTACATAATAGTACACTTGGTGTTTACATAATAGTATGCTTGGTGTTTACATAACAGTATGCTTGGTGTTTACATAATAGTATGCTTGGTATTTACATAAGAATACACTTGGTGTTTACATAACAGTATGCTTGGTGTTTACATAATAGTATGCTTGGTGTTTACATAATAGTCAGGCTTGGTCGGGAAGTGGGTGCGATCGCATTTGATAATTGACTATGGAAATAATATTTACTAGCATAAAACCGGCCAGATTTTTTAGTTGTTTTGAGAACATTTCAAAAACAAACAAAGCGCAATAAGATTAACTGGACTGATGAGAGACAGTTAAAAAAAGAAAATAGCTTTTAACGCGAAAAAACTTTAAGCAAAATAAATACGATTAGAGCAAATATTTTTAAAAAGTCTCTCTTTTATAATCTTTTTTTATAAAATTAAGCGACATTTTTTATATAAAGTAACAACTTACTATTAATGATTGTTTAATAAGGAAACAAATGTTCTTCGATTTATCAAAGAGTATATATAATTTTTATTTATATACTTGTCTTATTACTGCCAAACTGGCATACTGCCAAAAATTTTAAAGATAGACGTCTTTCAACAAAGATGCATTTCAACAAATATTTAGGTTAATGACCAATTGGTAATTGATAATACAAATTTAGTTAAATTTATTTTGTAAACATATACTTTTCTTTATATATTTTGTTTTGTTATTATGAATAAATAAATTGATTTCCAGTTAATACAATGTGGTGTATTAAATTAAACACTGTTTAATAAAAGATGATATTATAGCATGCCAACGTGGTTGAAAAGTTTTGCGTGGTTTAAAATTCTTTCGTTTAAAGAGACTTTCTTATTGAAAAAAGATTTTACATACAAACTTGATTTATTTGATTTATTGAAGAAAAAGGTAATTCCCTGCTGTCTTCGTTTTTTTTTTTTTTTTAATAGAAATTTATAAAAGTTATTAGTATTTAATATTAATCGTTAACTTAAAACAAAGACTTTTACAATTTTCTCTATTTTAAAAATTATTGAAAAGCAAAATTATTAAAATGGTAGGTGTGAAACAGTTTTACCATGACCAGTATTATACGGGTCATGCTAAGTACGTTGTTCCACAACACATATTTTTTGAAACTATATATATATATATATATATATATATATATATATATATATATACAGGGGCTATTCTAGGAAAATATATTGGGCAGAAGTTTTCGCTGTGTCTGTGCCTTCCCTAAGGAAATTTGGCGTATATAGGCATTTTTTCACAAAAAAAGCAATATTTGCTGTTTAAAAAAAAAAAATTTACCTTATAAAAATCATTCAATATATCCAAGAGCTCTTCACTATATTCTGAATCTAATAACTCCTTTAATTTTACTTGAGCGGTAAGGTGTTCACCATCAAGGTGACAACAGGGTTTTATTAAACTTGTATAATTTGCTAAAAACTGTATGAAGTATGAAATGTTGAATATACATTTTTCTGGAGCACCACACTTGTTAATATCATCTGAAGAAACTTTTAATGCTTCAATTGAGTGAACTTTCAAGTCTCCTTCATCAGTTTTCTTAACATAAAAATTAACACAAACATAAATTTAATGGCAATAAAAAATAAACACTTACAATTAAATATTATATTCTAAAATGTGCCACTTTCTTTTTAATGTCACATCTTATATATAAATATTATGCACATATTTATAGATACACATAACTCTTGATAAGTCCTTTAAAATTTTTAAATAAAATCAGATTTTTTCACATTTTATTTTTTAATTTATGCAACCTATTATATTGAAAAAGTTTAATTAACTTCTTTGGCTTAAAGAGTTAAGAAAAAAATATGAATACTACGATAATACTGTAGGTCAAAGTCCTTAAAAAATTGTGATTAAAATTACTGGTATAAACAACATATGTGGCAAACAAGCTATGTGGGTACATATAATGCATGTGGTGTACATACATTGTATTATTGGCACAAATAAAAAAAAAATCCAACCAAAAATTTGTTTTGCAAATAAAGTCATTCACTCAATTCTATTTTTTCTCTGAAGCATTGCAAAAGGAATAGGCTCAAAAAGAAAAACTTAAAAATATACTTTCTAATCTTTCAAAACTATTGATTTTCTATGTAAACATAAAAATTGAATTAATACTGTTCAAAGCATTCTGTTCATATTTTACTTTTAATGATGTTGATGTCATTTTCAGGAAATTTGCTATTATTATTAAATATTAATAGCAGTATATTCAGAAAAATACTGCTATTAAACACTTTCAAATTCCTCATTTTCTTTTTAAAATTTCAAACTTTTGAAGCAGTTTTTAGCGTGGTGCTTATATGATCAGGTTTTGCATGTTGCAGTTCTAATCATAATGTTCAAACTGTCAATTGTTAAAACTTGTAGCTATATTTGTGCTAGCTAAACCTGTCTTCTGGGGAAGTAATAAGGTTACCATTATATGATTGGAACCATTAAATTATCATGCTTCATGAGTTAATTTTTCCAGAATTACAGCAATCTTGTCATCCATATTCACAAATATATGTATTCTACAGTAGGTCTTGCAATCCTTTGTTTGCATAATTTCTGTCACTTTTGTTACTTGTTTTTTTAGTTATTGAATACTCAAAATGTAGTATAAAGGATAAGTTTGGTTGGAAAAACTTCATGATTTTTCCTTGATGTTTTTATTAGTAATTAACTTTTTTGACTACGCAGGCAAGCATAGATCTTCCAGAGCTGAACAGATCTGTGGTGACAGACGCAGTAATGTTATCATTTTTCATTTGAGTCATGTATATCTATTGTAGTCATATATGTTTGTTTATGACGCAGGAGTTGCTTATGATTTCCACCAAATATTGGCTACTTAATGACCAAAATAACTTATTTGATTTATATATTTATAACAACTATTTGAGGTTTTTTTTGTCCTCTATTTTATCACAAAATATTATACACAAAATAATATATATATAACTTATACATCACAAAATAATATATATATATATATATATATATATATATATATATATATATATATATATATATATATATATACAAATAGTATTGCGTACTTAGGTTAGCAATATGACGTCATACTGAAATAGCCTGCTGCTGGGGGCTTCAGTACATACATCGACTGACAAATAGCCTGACTCGCAGTGGAGTGCTGCTACATCAACTGAGGGCTTGGGATGGGGCAGCAATCGTTTCATTCATCATTCTTCGTTTTTTTTTCTTCTTTTTCTAAAAACGCCGTATGGGTTAAGGTAAGTAAAAAAAGTGAGCAAATGCTTATAAAAATACGCTTTAGTAAGTGTATATATATATATATATATATATATATATATATATATATATATATATATATATATATATATATATATATATATATATATATATATATATATATATATATATATATATATATATATATATATATATATATATATATATATATATATATATATATATATATATATATATATATATATGTATATATATATAACTTTCGCAGTTTTACAACAAAAATGATTTCAGTCTATATCGGGATGATGGGTTAGCTGTTTTCAAGAACAAAAATGGCCATCAAATGGAACAAATAAAAAAACATGTCGTTCAAGTTTTTAAACGTAACAATCTCAACATCTCTATCAATTGCAATCTTAAAATTGTTAACTACCTTAATTTAACTTTTAATCTTACTCAAAATTCATTCCAACCATACTGCAAGCCTGATAATAAGCTAAGTTATGTACATGCTGATTCTAACCATCCACCTAACATAATAAACAATCTTCCAAAAAATATCGAGCTAAGATTTTTCGCCAACTCATCAAGTGAAGTTATTTTTAATAAGTCGACACATCTTTATGAAGACGCACTAAAGCAATCGGGATAGGATTATAAGTTGGCATATAAACCAAGCATAACAAATGTTCCAAAAAATCACCACAAACAAAGTATAATCTGGTACAATCCTCCATTTAGTAAAAATGTTACAACCAAAATTGGTCAACGCTTTTTAACCCTGATTGACAAGCATTTTCCTAAAGACCACAACCTACACAAAAATTAAATCTATCATCAACTCATACAACAAAAATATTTTATATGGTGTTGTAAAGTTATCAGAAAAAGCCTGCAATTGCATTAAAAAATCTCTTTGTCCACTGAACAACAATTGCTTGTCTATCAACATTGTTTACCAAGCCACGGTAAGCTCAAATAAACCTCAATACAAAGATAAGGTATACATTGGGATAAGCGAAACCTCTTTTAAGCTACGTTATGGAAACCATCTAAAATCCTTCAACATAAAAAAGTACAAGAACGACACTGAGTTATCTAAGGAAGTATGGGATTTAAAAGATAACAATTTTACATCTTCAATCAAATGGAATATAATTAAACGCTGTAAATCATACAATCCTGCATCAAAAATTTGTAAGCTTTGTTTAAATGAGAAATTTGAAATATTATTTTACAAAGGAGATAATCTGCTAAATAAAAGAGGCGAAGTAGTTTCGAAATGTAGACACAAAAATAAATTTCTCCTTTCATTATTTGATAGCGTGATTAGTTTTCCATTACGTCTTCTTGTACTAAGACGTCAGAACTCATTCTACTGTAGTTTGTTATTTTTAAACGGTTTTTTATTTTTTTGATTTTGTACTTCATGGCTGATGATTGCCGATAGGCATGAAACTTTAAGTTCCATTAAAAGTTGTTTTTTCTATATTTAAGTATATATATATATATATATATATATATATATATATATATATATATATATATATATATATATATATATATATATATATATATATATATATATATATACAGGGGTCGAAATAAGTGCTGGACATCCATTGTTTGTTTTTACTGCAAAAATAAACAATGTTTGTTGCCCTCATCTAGCAGGTCTCAAAAATGGTCTGAGGGGCGGCAATGTCCAGCACTTATTTCGACCCCTATATATATATATATATATATATATATATATATATATATATATATATATATATATATATATATATATATATATATATATATATATATATATATATATATATATATATATATATATATATATATGTATATACATATATATATATATATATATATATATATATATATATATATATATATATATATATATATATATATATATATATATATATATATATATATATATTAAAAATTTCTGATAATTACACTAATAATTATAATAATCAAGTCACAATTATTAAAACATAAAATATTAAAGCACTTAGATCATTACGTGAAACATATATCTATGCAGAAACTAACACATTCAGTACTAATTCATCAAATTCAATTTAGTTTGGAAATGTTGGAACAAAAATGATGTTGGAAAAAAAATGATGATGGAAAACTTGGTTAAAAAGAACTAGAAAGTCAAACTTTTATAATGCCTCATGGAAAACAAGTTGAAAATTTATACTTTATTTCAATTTCCTTGCATATTAATACTCTACAAAATTTACTATATTAATAATGCAACTTGTAGAACAAATTTTGGTTTTCGAAAAATTGAGAACTTTATTACTTAATTTACAATATCAAACCAAGTAGAACTTTTACAAACTGACATTATAAATAGAGAGATTAATTAAATTAAAGAGCTTTTTTTTAGAAATACTGAAAAATTGCTTGGGATAAATCAGCATCTAATATACACACTAATATGTGAGGCACTGTTTTGAAGCAAACACTGTTCTAATTCCGGAGAAAAGTCTTTGATTCAAATTTTTAGCAACTTTTTCTTTATTACATACAAAAAATCCTCTAAATATTCCAATTATTCTAATAATTCTACTTATCCAAAAACTTGTAAACTGCACAATTTTTTGTTTGTCCATAAATACAGACACATCTTTAAAAAAAAGATCAAGGGATTTTAAAACTTGTACACATTAAAATATGACAATATTTTTAATTTACTAATCACAATAATAGATAGAGATAATATAAATAATGACAAACCATCAATTTTGCAGTTTATTTTTTCTATTATATTTTTTATTTGAACACTTTCATCCATTTTAAATTTAATGCCTATTGATAAAACAACTTTTAAACTATATTTTAGCCACCTAGTGTGTATAATAAAATATATAATAAAATTTTATTTATAATAGTATCATAAAATACCTTTAAAATAAAATAATTAAAATTTATGTTATTTTTTAAAAGCTGTCACGAAGAAATTCATGACTTTTTCTCAAAGTTATTACACTTTTAAAAAATGTGATAACTTTGAGAAAAAGTCATGAATTTCTTCGTGACAGCTCGTAAAAAATACCATAAATTTTAAATTTACATTTAGTTGAAAACAATTGAAACAAATATCCATTTAAGTTTAGTTGAAACAAATTTACATTTAGTTGATAAAAAAAATTTTTATCAACTAAATGTTAACTTGTTAGAATGGTAATGATAATTGTTGACAATAATAGTGAAAGTAAGTTTGACAACTTGAGCGTTATTGTAGGTTTACATTAAGCGTTATTGCAGAATTACTTCTTCAGTTTAATGATAAAATAATATTTTACCATTGATTTTGTATATTATACAAAAAAAAAAAAAAAAAAAAAAAAAATGTACTGGTTTTAGATGAAATTTTTCCAGACAAAGCTCTTCCAGATTAAAATTTTCTTTTTTTTCGAGATGGCTTCCTCCATCCAAAATGTTTTTCCAATTTTTGGAAGCAAGTACATTTATAAAACAGCACACAAAAACAATATACATAATTTTTCTTTTGATAACTATATTTAATAAATTTCATGATATTAACACAGAAATGTGTTTTTATATATGGGTAAAACTGGTGTTTTATATGTATATATGGGTATATATGGGTAAAACTGGTATATATATATATATATATATATATATATATATATATATATATATATATATATATATATATATATATATATATATATATATATATATATATATATATATATATATATATATATATATATATATATATATGTATAATATATAGGGTAATATATATGGTTAAAACTGGTATTTTAAATCTTTAGATTAGTTGTATTCAATTCAAGTAAAACAATATATGTTCGTTACTGAAGTAACGCTGTGATTTGTTATTTTTTTGATTATAAACCTTTGACGTTAAATTTCTCTAAAACCAAAAAAAAAACATTCAAAAGATATTTTAAATTAAAGGCTAATTTATGTATTTGTTTCACATATAGCTATATAGATACATTAGATCCCTTTGCACAAGATTTTACTTCTGAAGATCATTGTTTACTGACGTTATTTTACTGACGCAACGCTCTAACTCCGAGTCACAGTTGTTTAAAATTGTGCTACTTTAGTCAAGTTTAATTTTATTATTCGTAACATTTATCATTGATAAAATTAGCAAAAAAAAATTTTTTAAGTATTTAATCCAGTAAACTTATAGGACATTGCAGGTTGTGGTAGGGCCAGCGCGAGTAGGTGTCATGTGGGGGGGGGGGGGGAAGGGATTGCTGGTTAGAGTTGTGTTAAATGAATCTAAAAAAGGTCCTAATTTGCCAACTAATGGTATGAAATTCTTCGGAAAAGGGGTTTGTTTGTCCCGGTTTCTTGCATTTGCTCTAAAATTCCATCAATAAAAGGAATCGCGGTTTCCTTTAAATGGTCTGATGCAATCGTCCATAAAGTACGTACGCTCGGATGGGGAAGAGGGGTCTGCAAATGGGCTAGATCAGAAGGGGGCAGGAAATCAATTATAAAAGTAAGGATACTAAATTAAAAAAATATATCATAAAATACTGGGTTGGTAGGTTAACCGCGTAGGTTTTTTAGAGAAGAAGAAGGTACTCAACTTTTAGATAAGAAGAAAGTACTAAAAAAGCGTATTGCAAATGGCGTGAGGAGGGATCGAAATAAAAGCGTACGTACTTTATGGTCGACTCCCAAGTGACTTGCAAAAGGCATTGATGATATACAGCTAAAGTGAACAGGCCCATCCTTAACCAGTTTCAGCTCAGGCAGCTGCTGCGGTGCAGGAGCGTGGAGAGGCCAGCAAGGGTTTAATTTTTTTTTAACTAATAAAAAAAAAAATTTAAAGAATTTCAAAAAATAAAAAAAAGTAAAAGTCACAATATATTCTTTTTATTCGTTTTTCATAAAATGAGTCTATTTTTTTAAAAAAAGAAACGGAAGAAGAAAAAAAGTACTTTGAACAAACTAGTTTGCAAATTCTAAAGTAACTTAATAAAGAGCAAGAAAATTTTTCTGCTGCGTTTTTTTACACCAGGAATGGAGAAACATTTGTTAATGGCGTGTATGGTAATTTGTGGCAATATGCAACAACAGGGACAACAATGTTTCTTTATTCCTCTTTCGAGACAGCTAAAATGATTATTATAAAGGATTTACTTTCTGGTTTTATTTGCTATGCTAAGCACATCTGCTTTTTAAAATGTTTTGTTTATTTAATAACAAAATAATTAGTTTTATTAAAAGTTAGCAAAGACATAAAGTTTTACTCTGATCAGACTTTTTTTTTAACTTCTTAGTTCTCAATAATACATTTGAATATATGAAATTAGCTAATAGATTTCTCAAGATTATAGAATCAGGTGGAGATGCAAGCTGAATATTTAGTCTCGAGAAGTCTACTAAACTGGTAAGGTAAGCTCACACTACTCTCTTATTTTGAGTTCTTTGTCCATCTCCCATATAGGGATTTTGCTGCAATCGCATTGCAGCAATCGCACGTGTAAGAGTTTTTATAAACCTACCAAAATAATGCGGGCATTTTATTTTAGATCTTCATTCCTAAATGAAATTAGAACCAATGTAATCAGAAAACCAAATTATCTTGGTTTACTTTTGCTTTTTTGATCAAACCTCTTCCTGTTATCTCCATATGAGGGTACAGCTCTAAAACTCAGTTTAATGGTTCTGAGGCCTGCTGGTAGTAAGGTTTCCCAAACTCTGTGGTAGCTCTCAGAAAGGCTGATTCCATCAACAGCTGCAAAATATCAGAGTATTAACAGTGCCATGTTGCGCATGGATGGTGTCCCTGTTAATGCTTTTGGTGTGCATTGTCAAGGCCACATAAGGAGCCCTATGTCACGGCTTAGGGTTAATTAACAGGACTGAGACAACTGCATAGCTCATTGATTAGGAGGCTGTGCTCTATCTATGAATGAGTCTAGTTCTCATTAAACCCAAATTATGACCAAAGTAACCAAAAATTTAAAACCTAAAAAACCATCCCCACCACCTAAATATTTTAATATATCTTTTACAAATATTCGCGGTCTACGAAGCAACTTTCCATCAGTTTAGTCTTACCTCCTGCAAAATTCACCAGACTTGCTTGCACTCAGTGAAACAAATTTAAGTTATGCAATTCCTTCTTCAGATGTCAGTGTTGATGGGTACTATCCTTTGATTCGTAAAGACTCCAATAGTCACATGCTAGGTTTAGGGGTATACATACGCATTAATTCCCCTATTTGTTGTGAAATCAGGTTCGAATCCTTTGACCATTCTTTTATGTGCTTTCGCCTAGCACCTCTTCACTCTATCACCTTTCTCTTTGTTCTTTATCGTTCTCCTTCTTCCCATGATTGCACTCTTTTAGATGTTATCTCTGATTAAATTGACCATGCCCTCTCTCTTTACCCCTCTGCCAATATTGTTGTTGTTGGTGATTTTAATGCCCATTACACTGAATGGCTTGGCTCTAACACCACTGATCCTGCTGGCACTAAAGCCTTCAACTTCTGCGTTTCTCAATCTCTTACTCAGATAGTTAACTTTGTGACTCGTTTTCCTGACAACCCTAATCATATATCTTCACTCCTTGACTCATGTCTTGTCTCTGACCCTAGCTTATGTTCAGTTTCTCCCTTTTCTCCCTTAGGTGGTTCTGACCATGCAATGATCTCTATAAATCTTTCTTCTCGTACTTCTTTTTTGGGCTCACCATATCATCGCACCACCTACTACTACCCTAAAGCTGACTGGGATTCCTTTCGTGATTTTCTTCGTGATGGTCCTTGGGCTGATGTTTTTTCTCTCTCAGCTGACAAATGCGCCTACTACGTAACCTCCTGGATTCAGGCTGGAATGGAAGCTTTTATTCCTTTGCGTCGGTTTCAAGTCAAGCCTCATTCTACTCCATGGTTTTCTCCTTCTTGTGCGGCTGCTATATCCAATCGTGATCATTTTTTTCATCTTTTTCAAAAGAACAACTCTCTTAAGAACAAACGGCTATTTATTATCGCAAGAAATCGATGTAAAAAGGTGCTTTCTGATGCTAAACTCCATTATTCTGAGTTCACTAAATCTCGTATCTTATCGCAGAAGTTAGGCTCTAAAGACTTTTGGAAAATCTTCAACAGCATTGTTAACAAGGGATGATCTAACATTCCATCTCTCATTCATGGGACTGATCTTATTACCTCTCCCAAGGATAAGGCAGAACTATTTGCAAAGAACTTTTCTTCTAATTCCACTCTTGAATCTTATGGACATTCTCTTCCTTCCATTCCAGTCAAACAGGTTGACCCATTGTTAGACATTCAAATCACTCCGGCTTCTGTTGCTAAAGTGATATCTCAATTAAACTCGTCTACAGCTTATGGTCCAGACAACATTCCTGTCACAGTCTTGCAGAATTGTTCTCTAGAACTTTCTTCAATTCTCTCTAAACTATTTAACAAGTGTTTGACTGAGTCTTGTTTTCCTGCTTGTTGGAAAATGGCATCTGTGGTTTCAATATTCAAAAACTCTGGAGAAAATTCTGACCCCTCCAATTATCGTCCGATCAGTCTTCTTTCTGTTATTAGCAAGGTCTTTGAGTCTTTGATCAACAAATTCCTCACATCTCATCTTGAGTCAAATAAACTGCTGTAAGACAATCAATACGGTTTTCGATCCTCTCGCTCTTCGGCCGACTTGCTAACTGCTGTAACTGAAAGATTTTATCGTGTATTAGATGGAGGCGGTAGGGCTAGGGCTATTGCTCTCGACATATCTAAAGCTTTCGACAAAGTTTGGCATGCTGGTCTTCTCCATAAGCTTGCTTCATATGGTGTTTCTGGGAAAGTTTTTGAGATTATCAAATCATTTCTTTCTAACAGGTTTATTAAAGTCATCCTTGAAGGCCAACACTCTTCTTTATTTCCAGTAACTTCTGGGGTTCCCCAAGGTTCCATCCTGGGCACTGTTTTGTTTCTTATCTACATAAACGATCTTCCTGACAACCTTTCATCTAAAGTAGCTCTTTTTGCTGATGACTCAACTTTATACTCCTGTCTTGACAAAAAGTCTTCTCTTTTCGATCGCCTAGAACAAGCAGCTGATCTTGAATCTGATCTCACTTCAGTAATAGATTGGGGTTCACAGTGGCTTGTGAATTTCAACTCTAAAAAAACCCAATTGCTTACTGCAAACAACGACCGTAATATGGTCAACATTCCTATATAAATGAATGGCAATCCTCTTACTGAGTCCTCCTCTTTATGTCTTCTTGGATTATCGCTTACTACTGACCTTTCATGGAAACCATATATACGATCGATTGCTAAATTAGCTTTTGCTAAGGTTGCTTCTCTTTATCGTGCTCGCCATTTCCTTACTTCTGATTCCATTCTCTACCTCTACAAATCTCTTATTCGTCCCTATATGGAATACTGTTGTCATATTTGGGCTGGTTCTTCTAACGATTCACTTTCTCTTCATGACAAGGTCCAAAAACACATTGTAAATGTTGTTGGACCTGGACTATCTGCTAAGCATGAACCTCTTTCCCATCGTCGTAAAGTTGCATCTCTTTCTCTTTTCTACAGATACTATCATGGTCACTGCTCAAAGGAGTTATCATCTCTAGTTCCATCAACTAAAATTCATTCTCGTTTTACTCGTCATTCAGCTAAGTCTCATTCGTTTACTGTATCTGTCCCTGCATGCTCTAAAAACTTTTATTCATCTAGTTTTTTTCCCCGCACTTCAATCCTTTGGAACTCTCTCCCATCTTCATGTTTTCCTGACTCATACAACCTTCAACTTTTTAAGTCTTCTGTCAACCGTTTCCTTGCTCTATAACTCTGTTCATTTTTTCCTAATAACTCCCAACTTAATAGTGGTTGCTTGCAGCCTTGTTGGGAGTGAATGCAAATAAAAAAAAAAAAAAAATGTTAAAAAAGTTAAAATCAATCATTTTGCTGAATTGAAAAGCCGCCACAAGACATCAAAATAATTTCTTAACATAATTATAAAATAATATAACTTATATATTATTTTATAATTATGATGATAGTTATGTATTCTATAAAAATGCTCTTTTGCGGTGATCTGTGATAAGGCCTTTTTGGAGCATCTAAAATAAAAATTAAAAATTTATTTATTTATATTAATTATCTTTTACTCGTTGGTTTTTGATCCAATGCAGAAATATTTATGAAGCCATATAAAAAAATTGTGTTGAAATACAGTTTTTTTTGCTGTTTTTACTTGTAGGTGTGGGATGGAGGGCGGGGGGAGAGAAAGAGACCGTTCTTTTGTTGGTGGAAGGGAGGGGGTTAGGATGATCCAAAGACGGACCTGGAAGTGAAGGTTAAAATTGGAGTCAGGCCATAATGAGCGCGTTTTATTTCATTTTGAGTAACACTTTTAAAGTTCTCTCAAAATCAACCCCTACGACTAGGTTTGTTTAAAAAACAGCATACTTTTTAAAGAATTAATTTTAAAATATTTAAAATTATTTTATACTTAGCGTATACTAATTTTGTAACAAATTATTTTCACTGTGTAGTGAGTTATTTGAATAATTATTTGAGCACAAATTAAAAATACAGCTTTATTAATTGAAACAGTAACTTAAACATCAGATTAAATAGATTTTTTTACATTAAAAAACAATTATTGTTTTTAGCCATGTTGACAGTTTGGGACTAAGAAATTAGCACAACGTGGAAGGTATAATAAAATTATGTGTTCAGGTAACCCTGCAACAACATCGAGAAGTTATCTCAAGGTTTAGTGTTAATAAAACTGCTCAAGATACATTTTCAAGGAAAAGCCAAAAAATGGAGTAGAGTGATAAAGATTTAGGTCGATTGTACATTTTGAATTTAAATCCCCTAAAATATGTATGGTAATTATTAAACTTTAATAATTCTTTAACTTAAAGAAATTGAAAAAGAACAAAAAAATTTGAAAAGTTTACAAATAGGATCCAATTGATTAAAAAATTTGAATCAATGAGTGTGCAATTCGGATCCAAAATGCACATTTAAGAAAATGGCTTTACATTGCATTTATAATACGCAATACTGTCGTCGTGTATTAATAAAAAATTAGAGAGGGTGAACAAAATAATAGTAATTTATGTTACTAAACATATTTTTATTACTTTTTGTATTTATGTTAGAAAATAGTTATCTTTTAACATAAGTAGAAAGTTTTTACCTAAATTGTTTAAGAAACACGTTTAAAAAAATTTAGGTAAAGACGATAGAAAATACAAAAAAAAAAAAAAAATAAAATGGGTCAAAAGTTTGATGAGGAACTGTCTTATGGCAGTAACGAAAATCGAGGAACTTTCCGGCCGGTTGACATATACGGCAAATGCCATCGCTTCTAATGATGTTCAACTTCGATTCATCACTGAACAGGATAGTTCGCCATTTCTGCTCATTCCAGTCAATATGAGATGTAGCAAGCAGGAGTCTTTTTCTTTAGTTCTTTAGTAAAATCAGCGGTTTCTTTGCAGGGCGTTGAGAAAACAATCCGGCTTCAACAGCACGCCGTCTGATTGTTCGGTCCGATACAGGCAGCTCTAATTGCTTTTGAATCTCGACTGATGATATCCAGGGATCCTTCTTGACGGATCTGACGATCATAGAATCCTCTCTAGAAGTGGTGGAGCGCTGTCTTCCACCTTTGTTATCTCATGCCAACTTCACCATAAAACGATATTTGGAACATAGTCTTGATACGGTCCATTTTTTCACGTGATATTTATCACAAATACTTTTTTATGATATTCCACTTACGTAATCGCCAATAATACGTAATCTTTCTTAGTTCCGATCCAAGACTGTCGGGAGCCATTTTTGCACTTGAAGCCATAAAAATAATAATAATAATAATAAATAATCACGCTTCTCAAGGTTTACCGTGTTACATTTACCTTGTGATGATACAATAATGTTCTGTGGAACACAACGTCTTGGTTGGATGTGGACTGTATTGATGTAATGAAACACTTGTTGTCTTTTACTTCTTGTATTGATGTTTTTCGATAAAACACTTTGATAAAACTCACTTCGATAAACTGTCTTGATAATACTGACTGATTGACTTCCATATACTGACTGAATTACATGTCGGTTTACATGTCTCTTATAAAGTAAAATGAACCTGTGTGAACCTGTTCTGGAAGATTCTAGATGCTTCTGGAAGCTTCTGGATGCGTCTGGATGCTTCTGAATGTATCTGGATAATTCTGGATGCTTCCAGATGCTTCTTCTGGAAACTTCTGCATGCTTCTGGAAACTTCTGAATATCTCCTTTAGTTATTAAAAATCTTCCGTGACGTTGTCACGGACCTGACTTAAGAAAATGAAACAAACCAAAAAAATTGCACTTGTTTTATCCGCTGCAAATGGCACTTATCAACGAAATTTTGTCTGTGTGCTGTCACCTGTCATGGCATGCTATGACTCCAGACTCCTGAACTGTTTGCTGTGGTAATATAGTTCGTTTCGTTTTTAAGACATGTAAAATTAGGAACACTTTTTAGCATTGCTCGATGTTGGTTGCAAATGTTTTGTCCAATACTGTATATAATTATAATCAGAAATAAAGGAAGCATGTTGCATTAAATATCAAAGAGGAATAGAAAGGAAAACTTGCATAGAGATCATTAAGTTAGTTCACTTTATTAAAAAAATAAGATTATTACTATGTAAGATATTACACCATGATTGCATTACATAGTATAAAACCAACTTAAAGTTTTAGAAAAACCGCACCTTTACAAAATCGAGCCGTTGCAAAAAAATTAATTTCCGCAGAAAAATTAAAATCAAAAAGATAGCGACAAAACATGATAAGTCGCATAATACTCGGTGTTTAAAATATTATAGCGTCTATATGATATTTTGTTGACTACGACATAATTTTATTTTAAATTGTAATTTAAAGATATATATATTTTTTAAAAATCTTAAAATCACAATTGCTTGTCCAAATTTAAATAACATTTTAAACAAATACATTTTTTAGGTAAAATGAAGATCATGGTTAAATAGAATGATCTGTTCAGATCGTTTATTGGCAATTTTTCTTAATTATAAACTCTTTCTTGGTCGGTTGATAGAAATATTGTATTTTGATAACTATATCTAGTTAATATACGTCAGAACCGATAAGAACTAGGATCTATAGTAAATTAAGTATATATATATATATGTATATATATATATATATATATATATATATATATATATATATATATATATATATATATATATATATATATATATATATATATATATATATATATATATACATACACGTTTAGTAAAGATTATTGCAATTGAATATTTAAAATGTGCTAAAATATTTAGTGAAGGAATTAAAGTATTTTAATTGGAGTATGATTGGATCCAATTGCAAAAAATATATTATAAGGTGGTTAAAAAAAAAGAAAAAAAAGAAACTAAATCGCTTAAACATATTTATGTGCTAAAAAATACAAAATAACATGACTATATGAGAGTTAACCAAAGGTGTAGAAACTAAAATATTTTAAAGATAACGTATATTTACATCTTCGTATTAAATATATATCAAACATGTTACAAATTAAATCTAACGGTCTTAAGTAAATTTCAAGTTTAAAAAAAAACTTTTTTAATAAGCTAATTAACTAAATAAATAATAAACAAACTAAACTTAATTAAACTGAGTAAAAAATTTCTTCCGCGTTTTTCAAATTTCTTCCGTCGTACATTGTACATTTTTTTTCCCGTTGTCTTTTTAACCGCGACCTCAGAAACATTTAAAAATATATTTAAATTTCTCTTTAGTAAAAAATTATATATTTTTTATCAGTTGTAAAAATGAAAACCATTGTTTGAAGGTTGCTTTTATACTTTAGCCGTAGTTTTCTACAACTTCGATACACCATTGTTAAACAAAGTTTGATCTATTTTTCGTCTAGTCAACTCTGATGCTTATAAAAATGTGGTAATTTTATGTAATGAGGCTTACGACCCATATATCTGATATAAATATTTTAAAGGTACAACTTAAGAAACTTTTATTTGCATATTAAAACCCAAAATCGTCTTCCGGCTGGAAAGCCGTAAAAAAAAGAAGTATAGTAAGAAAAATGAACAAATTTCCAGTCATAACCAACCCCATTGCGCCATACTTTATCTAGAAAGAAGAAACAATTAAAAAAAAAATTGAAAACTGAAGCCAAAATTTCAATTAAGAATCTAAAAACACTTACAATACCAGCTCTTGCTAAAACAACAGGAAGACCTAAATAAACAAAACATGTTTTTGATTATTTATTAAATAGAAAAAATATATTTATATTAAACTTTTACATAACAAAAAAAGTCAAAATTTAAACTAGAATTATTTGCGTTTCAAAACTAATGTTTGAACCAATTAATTTCTAACAAAAAGCTGTCTGAACCGGTTAACTTCCTAAATTAAAAGTTTGAAGCATTTAATTAATAAGTGAACCAGTTAATTTTTTAAAAATTTCAGTTGGATTCTTCATTTTTCAAAAAAAACTCCGTTGATTTAAAATCATCCAGGTTAGTAGCCATACTTTTTTAGCCATTTTATAATCATCCAGTTTATCTAAATAACAGTCCAGCTAAATGATACTCAGTCTGACGAAGGATGATAATCCTTAAAAATGACGTCTCTATATTTGTCCCTTTTCCTTATATCACCATGCCCTTTTATTTAAAACGCAACTCTTTAAAAGTTAAAAAAAAAATTTTTTAAACAATTCCTCCTTCCCTACTCCCTAAGACTGTATACTATACTGAAAGTATAAGCTTTATTATTAAAATAAACTCATTAAAAATATATAACATGTGATAAATAGATACTAAACCATCCATCGCATATTATATATGCGATAAATGGTTTAGTATCCATTTATCGCATATTATTATATATTCTAGGGTTCTAGGGTACATGACAAATTTTTTTGGTATGAATGAATCCTGAGGCTATTTGACAAGTTGAACAAAATTATTGAGGAGTTTTTGGCTTAACACTTCTTATGTCAGCTATTTTTTCAAAATGGTTACCAAAATCTTAATTTTTTAAAAGCAGGTTATTTTGTTTTCTCCAAAACAAGCCTATTAAGTGTAATTTGTAATGTTTTATAGGATAAGGAATTGAAAAAACACACTTAACCTACTGTATCTGTCACAGTGTTTGAGTAATCTAAAAATAAACATGTTACTTTTTATATTTTTGTGCTTTGCACCAATTTCTCCTAAATGTATCTCACTGAGTGATCCGTGCAGCAAGTAACATAGGCACATATAGTACACACAACAATCGTCATGTCTGCACAAAAATAAAAGCTGCGTGTTAGGTAGCATATAAATCAATGGCTACTGCTCCAAAAAAAACCGCTACAATTGATTCAACAAACACAATAAA